AGAAAATGGTTTGTCAAACAAGTTTACCAAAAAAAAAAAAAACTGGTTAAGAATTTTACTAAACAAAAAATTGTCAAAATGTGGTAAATCTCTTTTCTTTATAATCTTATGATTTTGTAAACTAATCCTATCATTTTGTAAATTATTTGTTTTCTGCTTGTAGAATAAATGTTTTAATTACGATTAATTAATGAACTTTAGCAGTTTTAACGGACAAGTAGGGTAAAACCAAACTTTTTTTTTTTTTTAAGTAAATTCATCTTACTAAAAAACTTTCAATAATTTATTTTTTTTTAAACATCTTTTTTGTCTGTTAAATTCGCTATAATATAAAACTTTCGGTCATTTTTTTTTTTTTTTTAATATATAATATAAAAGAAAACATTCATCTTGAAAAGTAAATTGCAGAAATGTTTTTTTGTCTTATTTACCTTAATGCCAATATCTTTGTTTTTCTACAAAAAAAAAGCGACTTAAAGCGGTTTAATTATGTTAACTTTTTAAACTTGCTATTTTAATTGAATCGCTTTTAGTTGACTTGAGATTTTTTTACTTTAGAGTTAACTTTTTAATTTTTAAACATTTTTCTCTTTAGCTCAAAGCACTTAATGCGAAAATCTCTGTTACTTTCATGCAAAACTGTTCAGCTAACATTGACGCTATTTGAACGTTCAAAAACTTGCTGGAACTTTTGCCAAGTTCGTACAATGTAATCAAACATTTTGAGTTAGCTGGCTATTGCCTAGGTGATTAGAAAACAACGTTTAAATGTTTCGAAGTTAGAGACAAATTAGACCTAATTGTGAAATAGATCTTTTCAATGCATAAATTTATCATAATAGATAAAAAGGTGTGTGGGGTAAAATTTTTGAAAAATATACCCCACCCACCTTTTTCCTAGGTAAAAAAAATAATATAAAATTCCATACAGTTCACTCTTAATGTACAATAGCCAAAACTTAGTACAGTAAACAAATATATTTATAATACTCTTGTGATGTCAATAACCAAATTAATAAATCTTAAAATCAATACTTTGGAATTTGGAAACAAATTTTTGTTGTTTTTCCTAACTTCTCTAATTTTTAATAAAAAAATATCATTAAGGTAGTAGTAAAGTAATTAGAAAAAAAAAGAAATCAGTCAACTTTTTCAAATAAAAAAAATTTCTACAATGTGTAATATAACATCAATAAGCAAAAAAAAAAAAAAAAAAAAATTATGACAATTTTTTTTCAACTTAATTATTGCTGAAGGCCCAAAAATAGGGTTAACTGCGACAGAGATTTTACAAGAACCATTATATATTTTTTATTGAAATTTTGGCAGGTGATACATTACATGTGGCATTGCAATGTGGACTAACAGATTTCAATATGGTCAAAAAAATGTATAAATATTTGCATATGTGTAAATTTATGCAATTTTGGGGGTAATTGATGGAAAAAAATCATTTAAAATTACTGAACGAGAGAAGCAATAAAAATTTTTCAAGTGTATGTTGTAGATACTAATGTAATGAGTATGTGTGCCAAATTTCAAGTAAATTTGATTGTTGGTTTTTAAAAATTTCCACGTCGCAAACCCCAAAAACATGATTTTGAGAAAAACGCAATTTAAAAAAAAAGGAGATAAAAATAGTTCAAAATTCCCCACTTTTATAAATTACACCTTCCAGTTCTTCATTTTGGTCACAAAAACCTTTCTTTATTACTCTTAACTTTTTTCTTCTTGATTTTGCTTTAGTACTACATTGTTTTTTTCCTTTAATGATTCGTTTACTGTCTTTATATAAACAGTAATTTTGTGCATTTATACCAAATTCCATTACGAGCTCATTAAACAAATTATTTAAAAACTCATTATATTCTTCATGATGTGTGTATTTTTTTTAACTTCCATTTAGAACGCAACTTACAAATTTTAGTTTCTATTTTGAAACCAATACTTTTACCATTTTCTACAGCAACAGCTGTTACTAATTCGTTGTTTAAAGTGTATCCACGTTTCTGCCACGATCCATCAAACCCACAAGTAATATCTTAAGATGTTTCATTGATTGATAGTAGTTCTTCTGCTGCATTTGTCATGCTTTTATCAACCAAGCTTTGATAGACATCCAACAGTATGTCCGATGTGTCATTGTAGCAGTTTTTATTCATTGGAGGTTGCATGTTCATAATTCCACAAAAAGTTTCTATTAATGAAAATTCCTTACCTATTTCACGAAATGCAATTATGGTACGAATGTTTATATCAAAGAGTTTATGTTTAGTTTCCAACACAATCTATCTTTTTATCCATTTTAGCAAATGAAAAAAAAATTGTTTCTCATTCACAATCACTGCAACAAAATTTCAGCCAATCTTAGGCCATATTTTTTTGAAGAATCAAACTGCAAACTTACTAAATTGTTACATTCTGGGCATTTAAGGACCGTTATTGCTTTTTTAAGTAAATCAAAGCTTATAATAAAGTTTTCATTTATCTGTTGAGGTTCCTTTACAACTTTATTGTTGAACAACTTCTTGTAGGATGATGAACATGGTATATTTTCATCTGAAGGTATAGCAGTGGTTTCATTATTTTTGCAGACACTTGAATATCTGTTTTCAAGAAACTTCGAGTTTTTTATTTGGTTTATTAATTTAGAAGATTATTTTCTTTTTGATCGACCCATTACAGTTCTATTAAAATAAGATATTACTAAAATTGACTGTTGTATAGACTATTAGTGAACTTGGCAAGAACATAAAATAGCAATAAAGCGTGCTCATGCGCTATGTATGCGTATAAATTGAGTTAATAAACAAGGAGTAACTGCTGATTAACAAACTTTCTTATAAAAAGTAAGCTTAAAAATGTTTTTATTGCATTATTTTATATAACTTTGATTGCAAAAACCCGTAGCAACCTGGTAAATAATGCGTTGCTATGGATAAAAATTTATATCGAACAATTTAAAAGCAATTTTAGAGGTATATATAAAAAAAAATTTTAAAAAACAAGAAAAGATTTTGATTCTACAATAGTTATATTAGTTAAAAAATGTATTTTTGAAAAAATGAATTTTTCAATTTTAATTACTATACTACCACCTTAATGATGTTTTTTTAGTATTATAAGAATGGCCATTAAAATAATCGATTTGTTACTATTAGAAAACAATTTAATTGTGTTTTGTATATATGTTGGCAAAAGTGTTTTAAACGAGGTTTAGGTCAGTGTCTATTATCTTAGGTCAGTGTCTATTATCTCAATATGTATACACAATGATTTTTTCAATTCTCACAGTTGTTTTTACCTTAAAAAATATAAATTTCTCTTAAACAGAATAAAATTTGTTAAATGCATTTAAAAGTTCATAAAAATATTACTTGGAGTTTGAAAGTTACTACTACGTTCACAAAACAAACTCATCTCAAAGTAAAGTTGCAATTTATGCAAGGAAATATAACTTCAAAGTAAAGCTTTTAAAAAAACATTTCAATTCTCAAAACTTTTTAATCTCTTGTTAAGGGTTTTATTGATTATTTGGAGAAAAATCAATTAAGCCAAATTTCGGCAACTGATGCCTTTATATAAAGGAGTTTTATATGACACGCTTTAACTAAAGCATTTTTCATCATAACATACATTTATGATTTAAATATGAGCACACCGATAGTTTTGATTTTTGATTTTTACTGCACCGTACGTAATGCAAATACATAAAAACCGTTGTCCTGTTACAATTATCTTATTGAGTAATAATAACTTTGAATTTATAATGTTATTTAATTTATGCACTTATATAAAAATAATAAATCAGTATTTTATTAGCGTCAATTTAAATGCGCTATAAAAATGGTTTTCTTGCTCATTCTTAACGTTAAGATAAACAAATTTTCCTAACGTCGCCGCGGTTTTTGTAGTTGTAGTAGAGTTTGTTTATAATAATTCATTCTTTAATTCAATTAATTTTTCTATATAAAAAAAAATTATTCAACTAAGTAACTTTAATTTTTCTGTTAGTAAACAACCTTTATTATCTTTAGAGCAACAAAAACAAAAAAAATCCCTTAATATCTTTTTTACACAAAGCATTCAAGTCATAAAAAGTAGAAACTAAATGCACATAAATTGATATTTAAATTCTGATGATAAAATTACAATTTCTTGGATTTTATTAGATTTTACCTTTAGTGTTACAAACCTTTATTTTATACCTTGCCCCTAGCAACACAACAACTTGAGCTAACGTTGCCCCATTGTTGGCGAAATGTTTCTATTGTTATTTATAAAAATAACGATAGAAAACGTTTTAACAAATAGTGCTTTTCTAGACAATACTTTAAAAACAATCCATTTTTAAATTAAATTTATCTTTTAAGAGATTTTTAAAAAATGAAAACGTTTGTAAAATCTATCAAATAAAATGAATATTTGAAAGTTGATTCCGAAATTTGATAAAGTTTAAAAAAATGTAATATTTAGGTAATTTCTCTTTTTTTTTAAAAGGTTTTTATATTTCTTTCTAGTATAAAAACTATAAAGACCATATAATTTGATTTTTATTGTTAGTTACAACAAAGTTAAACACCGCTAAAATTAACTTTTACAGTTGGTTATTCAAAGAAAACTTCACGAAACTTTTCTTTAACAGTAAACCTTTTCAAAAGCCTTGACATGCGGTTTTGAAATACAAACTATTGAAATTAAATTATGGATTATGTATCGGATATAACTTTTTATTTGCAAACTGGTGCAAAGTAATAAAAGATTATCTGTTTTGCTGAACAAATTAATGAAATTTAAATAATTCATCACTGAAATTATTCAGTTATAAGATTCAATTTTTACAACTTTAATCCATTAAACACTCCTTTTTGTACTTTTATGTTAAAGTGTAAATAACATCTTAATTACTTGTATAATTCTTGATCAAAGCACCAAAGAAATTATATAACTAAAAAGCAGTAAATTATGTCAAAATTTTAAATTGAATTTAAGAACTAATTGACTTATAGTTGCCTGCTAACATATATAAATGACCGACTTGGTTCAAAGAAACCGAAAATATATAAATAGTATGGTAATTTAAAAAGCATCATTACATTTAGCTAAAGTAAATTCAAGATTTAGGTAAGACAATTTTAGGCTTCTTATTTATTATGTACTTAGAGTTGTGAAATATTTCATTTTTTTATTGATATTCTAGATTGTTTACTATTTTTTTAGAGTCTACTTTACTCTAATTAAAAGTAGTTCATAGCAGAAATGAAGCTAATCGTTGCGGTATTAATGATGCTAGTTTGCGTGTACAGCATGAGTATTAAAAAAAAAGTACCTGAAAGTCACGATGCATCAGCCAAAAAACAGGTTGTAGGTGAAATATTTCTGCTTAAGAATATATAAAGTACTTATTTAAATTTCTAAACTTTAATTTAGTTATAAGAGTAACACTAATTAATTTAACTGTCTACATTTGGTTTTCAATTAATCAGGGGTTTTTTACTGAAAGTACAAAGTCATAAAGTAATATATTGTAATTAACAGAGTCTGTGTCAAAAAAAATTATTTGCAATGTGCAACATCAAACAATTATTAAATGTTTGTAACTTAAAATTTTTGAAAAATATTATATAAAAGTACTTGAACAATATACCATGTCTGTTTTACTTTTATAATAAATTAAAAAATATAAAATAAAAACAAATAATCTCATCGTGTATCATCAAAACAATAACGTTATCTGTTAATATTTATTATGTTAAAACACAAACAGTTTATTGCATTGTTTTCTTTCTAAAAAAGTTACTAACCTTTTTAATTGTAAACAAAATAAATAATATAAAAATAATAAACAACATATAATAATAAAACGTTAATAAAAAGTTGTTTTTAACTTAACTAATAAAATATTATTTCTAATCTTCAAACAGGATCTTTCAAATGCAAAAGTTATCATTAACGTAAATATAACTATATTACAAAAAATAGAACAATGTAATACAGTTTTGTTAATCTTTGTTTTTTTAACAGCAGAAATTAAATCTGAATTAAAGAAACGTAGCGATGACGGTAATGAGAGTATATGCGATGAAGATGATCATGATTGCATTCATGAAGAATGCGGTGAAGATGTTGAAGATTGCGACGGTGATGGTGGTAGTGAAAGTGGTGAAGGTGAAGATAAAAAAAAAAGTATATTTTCAATAGTTTTTATTCTTAAATATTTTAGCAACTAGATTTATAAAATAAAATGTAAAATAAAAAATTCTTTCTAATCTTCAAAACTGGATCTTTTAAATGCCAGATTTATTAATAACATACCTCAAATGTTATAATTACAATGTAATATAATTTTGTTAATCTAATTTTTTTCAAGATAAAAAAAAGAAAAGTACGTTTGTAGTAGCTTACATCTTTAATTATTGCAGCGTTTTGTTTTATACATTAACTTAACATAATAATTATATCATGTTTGAGCTAAAGATCCTTTTAATATCCTTTCCTCACATTCTTATACTTCTTTTTTACCAGGGGTAAACAAAACGAAAAAAGAAAGTAAGAAAATAAATGCGAAGAAAACAGTGTCAAATCATGCAGAGAAAAATTCTAAAAGATCAGTGACTACAAAAAAGAACAGTGAAAAAAAGCCACAGAATAGAAGAGGCGCAAAAGATCATAAAAACCTTAAAGCTTAAAAAAACTTAAGAAAAAATCCATCATCTGCAAATTTAATTATTGTAATTTTGTAAACATTAGTGCGATTTTTAATATTATGTTTTTTTTATAATGATTGTTTTTAGTTGTTGTTCATCATCACAAGGACAAAATAGAGTTTGCAATATACCCTATATTAACACAGTCAGTGGTGTTAAATTTATTTGTTTTTGTGCTATTTTGAGTAAAATAATAAAATCTAGTTAACACATTAATAATATTGACATATTTATTTTAAAACTAAAACCTGCTTCTAAATTAGATTCACCTGTCTCCATGTTAATGTTAATTGGAATATGTCCGCAGCAACAATTTAAAAAAAAAAAAAAAACTTATATTTGTATCAATTAAAAACTTATCAAAAATACAGCAAAAATTTTTGTTACTATACTTGTTAAAAATAAATTGTTAAGGAGCAGCAGGAATTTAAAAACATAGATGTTTGGGACTTAAATGCATTTTGTACATTTTTGTATCTTTGAATTATACTTTCATGTTCTGTTGACAGAAATGTTTAAATAAATAAACTATTTTCTTATATAATCATTTTCAGAATAACAATATCATATTTATTTTTAACTTTTGGTTGAATAAAATAATAAAACCCGTTGCTTAAAACCTTTAATAAATAACCATTTTAACGCTGACAATTGACGCAACATTATCAAAATACGGCATATGGAAATAATGCTTTTGTAGATATAAAAAGATCTTTTCTGCTTTTCTTTTTTGTTCAACCACTTATTGTAAGTTCACTCCTCACTTTAGAAGGTTCCGGAAATGTCGTTCAAACAGTTTTGTTAATATTGTCTTCCATAAGCCAATTCCACTCATATGTATTAGGCAATGTTGGGTTTTTATACAATGATTGTGCCCAGTGTAACAGAGCGATAAAAAGCTCTGGAAGAATGGAATTGCATATCATCTTTATTAGAAAGTGAGGCCTCAGGTAAACTTCTTTTTGAGGGGCAAATCTGTAAATTTTTTCTCAAGTTTTCAACGAAAGGTTACTAGCAAAAATTGCGTAAAGCAGAGGTAAGATATATGTTTTATATAATTTTAATAATAATTATTGGTGGAATAATGATGTCCCTGTTTTGTCAAATGATTCTTTAGATTTTGTGGTATTTGGACTGTGGTCCATATTATATAAAGCAGCAGTTTTAAAAACAATAAAATTCAAGCGTAGAATATTTTTTTCCTGTAAAGTAGTTATTATCATAAATGGGTAACTCTGTTACTCATTTGTGATGATAGTTCCATAATTCTGTTATAAGACAGGGATTTTCACAAACGGGTTTTATACGCGTTTGTAAAAATCAATACATTTTATTGTGAGTTATTAATTGACTAATGGTTAGAGTTGCTTTTTGTAATCTTTAACTTTGTGTTTCATAGTGAACAGTCCTAATAAGTAAAAGAAGCAAGAACGAATTTTTTACGGCAACATCGTAACAACAATCGCTAAAGCAAAAGCTTTAATCAGCGAGATATCTAGACGCTAGATATACTCGCTATTCAATGCTGCTTCAGAAAATATGAAAAAAACAGTCTTCATAGTCGCATATACAGCAATTTTTCAAAATAATTTAAACATTTTCTTCAAATTCAAAGCAAATCACACTCCCAGATTTTTTACACGAGTCAACATTTAAAACTCTAAAAAAGTAAAGTTTAAAAGAGCACCTCATCTTTAATTTTGTTATATAAGTTGATCTATAAATATTATTAACTTAACGCTTCCGATGAATGCTCAACATTCGTGCGCATTTTTACACGGAGTTTTATGAGCATGCTTGGCCTTGTAAATATTTCTCTTTTTGACCACGCAATGATGTACTCTTGAATCTGTTAATATCTGTTTAATCAGTAATAAGATCGAAAAGTTTGCTTCATCAACTTAATTAGTAATAAGTAATATTTAGTAATAATTTTATTTTTTTAATTAAAAGACGATGGTGACTCTAAAAGACGATGCTCTTTTCAAGCGGTCAAACTCTTGATAAAGTTAGTGTTGTATATATATATATATATATATATATAAATATATATATATATATATATATATATATATATATATATATATATATATATATATATATATATATATATATATATATATATATATATATATATATATCTTGCATCTCACACAGTTACATGTTAGAAAGAACAAGAAAGAACAACGTTAAAGAAGTTAAAAAAAATCTGTTTGCTTTTATATAAAAAACAAGATCGTTTGTTTTTCCAAGTTGTTAAACATTTATTATACGAGGTATGTCATTAAACAAAAATAAGGTTGTATTTGTAAAGTTTCTAAATTATATATTTTTCTTGATTTATATATTTTTATATAGATTAGTTTATATTTATGTGTTATTTATGTTTATGTGTTTAGGTTATATGGGTTTATATTTTGTAAGTGTGTAAATATCATTTATGTGTTTGTAATTATCTTTTCAAATTGTTGTGACTTGGCTAAGTTTACAGCAAGAGTGTTGATTTTGCTAGCCAAGTGGTATACTTTGCTATAATGTGACTTGGCTTTGTTGGGAGCAAGATTATTGTCCACGCCAGTTAAGTGGTGTACTGCAGTACACCACTTAACTGGCGTGTACACGCCAAACAGTAACAGTACTGTTATGATGAAATACATAAATTAAATCTGTTTGTAGTTAGTGTAGTCATAAAAATTGTTAAAAAAAATTGTTGAAAGAATGCGTTTATTAGAAATGTTGAAAGATATATAATTTTTTAATATCTATAACAATTTTCTTAATATTTATAATTTTAAGTAACTTTTATTGAACATATATTATACTTCACTAAATAATTTTTATACTGTTACTTTTTTAGTAAATTTGTTTAAAAGATATATACTTATACAAGGTCAGCTTTTACCCAGCAAGCAAACGACGTCTTGTCAACGTCTGTGCATTGTTGAAACGTCAACGTCAGAAATTTCAACGTCTTTTCTGCGTTGATTTATTGTTGATAAACTAACGTTAGAGAAATAGGCGTTGTTTCAACATCTTAACAAGGTGGAAATTTCAACGTCGGAGTTTTCAACGTTTATTCCACGTTGATTTATCGTTGATAAACTAGCGTTGATATAATCAACGTTAAATCAACGTGTATTTTACTTTCTGTTTGATATCGAGACAGATAAAGGCGAGTTTCCACTCATCCGTTTTTCAAAGGGAACAGGATAGGAAAGAAAAAAATAGTCACGTGAGCATGCGTAATAAAAGTTTTTATTTGTTCGAAAGAAAACTGCGCATGCTCACGTGATTATTTTTCCGTTCCCTTTCCCTTTCCCGTAGAAAAACGGTTGAGTGGAAACTCACCTTAAGACTTTGAAATAAAGATGGCCAATCGCTCAGATAAATGTGCTATTTTTAATTGTATTTGATTTAAAAGTGTTAATATTTACAAATTATTCATAAATAAAGTTATTCTTTTATTTGACGTTTGTAAATAGCTATTTACAAGTTATCTGAAATATATTTTTGATTTATGGATAATAATGAATTAAAGTTTTTTTGGTTTATCATTTTCGTTTTTTATTCTGCTGGCGGGGAGTAGTGATGCTTCAATACAATTTTAATATTATTAGTAATGATTATTGAAAAAAATTCAAGTTTTGTTAGGAATTATTGTTTTAAAGCTTTAATTACAAACTTTTTTAACTATAGCTAAGAATGCTAGTAAAATTTATAAATTAGTACTGTGTCACAGTATAATACAATGTATTTATATATATATATATATATATATATATATATATATATATATATATATATATATATATATATATATATACATATATATATATATATATATATATATATATATATATATATATATATATATATATATATATATATCCCAGTAAACACAGATCGTTTTTAAAACGCTTAAAAAACCTATGAAAACGGTTTTTAACGTTTTTTAAACGTTTCAAAAACAATCTGTGCTTACTGGGATATATATAACAGTTTCATAAAAAGTTCAGTTAAAATATATTTCTAGCTAACACCCTGATATAAGTATAATTATTTATTTATAGAAATAAAAGTATTCAGTTGCTATGTCATCACGGATTACTCGATGGAGAGAAATTAATAAATCAGTAATTGATTTATTTATTGAGACAGTTAGTACAATAGAAACAAATGAACAACAAATAAATGTTTCAGATAATACAGTTGTTTCCGAAGACTCAATTGAGCAAGAAGTTGATGGTGTTGAAGAAACAGATTTTGACACAGATTCCAATCTTGACTCAGCTGAAGTCTCTCATAGTTCTGATTCTGATTCTTGTTTCTTAAATCATGGAAACTTTATAGATGACAAAATAGTAAATAGAAATCTATGTGAAGAACTAGCAGAATGGGTTGTTGTAAACCAAACTTCACAGTCTGCAACAAACCAACTTCTTTTTATTTTGAGAAAAAATGGCCACGCAGAGCTTCCAAAAGATGCAAGAAGGTTATTGAAAACTCCAAGTAACATTCCACTGCAGAATAAGTGTGGTGGCGATTACATTTACTATGGTTTGGAAACTAATATTTTTAAATATTTAAGTAAATTTTCAGATTTTGAGAAAATTGAGTTAGTTGTTAATGTTGACGGGATCCCATTGTTTAAAAGCACATCAGTTGCTTTATAGCCCATACTTTGCTCATTTTCAAGTATCCAACCATTTGCTGTAGCTATTTTCTGTGGCAAGAGCAAACCTTCATCTGAAGAAAGCTTTATTTTTGATTTTGTAAACGAGTTATCAATTTTATTACAAAATGGAATCAAAACTCCATATAAACATTACCTAGTTTCCCTTAAATCATTTTGTTGTGATGCTCCAGCTCGACAATTTTTGAAGTCAATAATTAGCCATAATGGATACGATTCTTGTGAGCGATGTGTTATTCGTGGTGCACATGTTAATCATCAACAAGTTTTTTTAGGGTCAGGATATACTCTGAGAAATAATAGAGAATTTAACCTACATAGTTACAAAGAACACCAAAAAACATTATGTGGTCTAGCTAAATATAACATACCATGTGTTACATCATTTATTTTAGATATTATGCATTTGGTTTATTTAGGAGTAACTAAAAAAATTATAATTTTTTTCAACAATGGTAAAAGATCATGCAGGATATCAGAGGTTCAAAAAGCAATCATTTCTGAAAAACTTAGAGAATTATCAGGAAAATTGCCGAGCGAGTTTGCAAGACAACCAAGAGGTATTGATGAGTTTAAACGCTGGAAAGCTACAGAGTTCAAAAATTTTCTTTTATATATAGCTATGGTTGTTTTAAAAAATATAGTTTCTCAAGAAATATATACGCATTTCTTAGGCTTATTAGTTGCTACAAGAATAATGGTTGATAATGATCTTTTGAATGATCATAAGTTGTTAGTGTATGCAAAAGAGCTCTTGGAATGGTTTGTAAATCGGTCATCATTTCTTTATGGTCAAGAATTTGTTACTTATAATGTTCATAGTTTGACACATCTATATGAAGATGTGGTCAACCACAGCTGCAGTTTGCAAGATATATCTGCTTTTCATTTTGAAAACTATCTAGGCATTCTAAAATGGTATGTGCGCAAGGCATAAAGTCCTTTGTCCCAGCTGACAAAAAGAATAGAGGAGATAGAGAAATGTTGTCTAACAAGAAGCAAACAATCAAAAACTAAAATTTCAATTGGAAACAAAAATAGATAATTTTTCATTCATGGAGAAAAAGTTGTTCGTGTAAATAATGTTATTGGTAATGATATAGAATGCTATGTCTTTAAAATATCTGATTTGGATGGGTTTTTTGATGATCCGTGTTGTTCTAAGTTGTTGCATATATATTTCCTTCATAAAAATGTACAATTCAAGGAAAAATATATAAAAAAGGATCTAATTATTAAGAATTATGTGGTATTCCATATAATAATGGGTATGTGTTGGTGCCATTACACCATAATGTTAATTTTTAAATTATTTATCTTTAAATAAAAGAGTTGTTTTTTATTTTAGATAAACAATCCCATTAATAATTACAAACAATATTTTTTTTAAAAAATTGAAAAAGCAGTTAATAAGCAAATTTAGATATTATACTAATTTTATTCGTTTTTTTATTAAATATGTTTTTTAAAATATTTTTCATTTGTGGTAAAGAGCTTTTCAATGATTAAATTATTTTTTTAATGAAAAACAAAAATGAACTAACAACAGTTATATATAATTATTGTTAGTTCATTAAACTGTTCTTATTTTCTTGTGTAATAATAATATTCTTGCTGTTAATTAGTTTTCAATAACAATTACTTATTTTCTTTTCATAGGAACTGTTACACCGGACACAGATGTTCCACAAAAAGGCAATGAGGAACAATTCAAGTCGAAAAATATTATCTGGTTCCTTTTTTTTCTTAGTGACATAGTTTTAATTTTTTTTTAAATCATTTAAATTTATTTTTAGATCTTCAAAATAACATGTTAATGGTTTTTACTATAATAAATGTTATGTCAAACTATTTTAATGTTAAATTGGTTTCAAAAGGTTATACTCAAACCTCTTCTATACACGGTGATTATTCTGAACTTACTGCTTTATCATAGCTCACATACCAAAGCCATTTTTTTCAACTACTACCTCTTCTACATGTGATGATTTTTCTTTACGCACACCAACATTAAACAGTCAGTCTTTAGTATGTTAGAAAGCTCGTTCACAAATGTTTCCACCAATTCACCTGCTGTTATTTCTCAATCCTATGTGAATTACAATAGAAGAGATTCTGCGTGTGCTCGAGATGAGTTAATTAGCTCAAAAAATCTTGAAAATAATGGTAGGTTTTTTTACTATATCAGTTGTGATTTTTAGCTTTCCTTTAACTTGCTTTTGTTTTGTATGCAACATATTCATTCAAGTATGTCATTTCATTTCTCTCATATTACATTAAAAGAATTATTTAAAATAGTTTTTTTTTTTTACAGTTCCTTGATATACTATGTTTTTAACGAGGCTAATTTAAGAAACACTTACTTTTAATAATGCGATTGAAATTATTATTCTCTCTCTATATATATATATAAATATGCATATATAAATATATATATATATATATATATATATATATATATATATATATATATATATATATATATATATATATATATATATATATATATATATATATATATATATAGTGTTCTCTCTATATATATAAATATGTATATATAAATATATATATATATATGTGTGTGTGTGTGTGTGTGTGTTTGTGTGTGTATATATATATATATATTTAAAAAGTACTTTCTGTTTTCAAACTCACGATTTCAACATATAGTATTATGGAGATTGGCCCAAATAACTTTGCAAATGAATGAAATATCTAAAAAGTTAGATGCAATTAGTGGCACCAGAAAAAAAGATGTTGAAGGAGAGATATTAATACAGTTTGATGATGTAGATGCTTTATATGAGTTTGATCGAAAGCTTGGATTTGACAAAAGAGTTTTTAAAAAGTTTATAAGTTTTTTTTTATTTAAATATGTTTGATTAGATTAAAATCTTGTGTGATTTGGATGGTTGTTAATAATGACAAATAAATGTCATTATGAATGAGTTAAGGTAGGATGTTATCTAAAAATTCTATTAAAGATTCAGATCCTCTATTATGCAAGATCGCCACATTGTTCATATAGATATTATTTTAAAATATAGATATTAGTTCAAAAGGAAAGGCTACTGTGAAATTACCAATGGGTTAAATGTTTGCAAAGCAATAATTGGTAGCTATAATTTTAATTTAAAGTTTTAAAAAGTTGTAGATCTATATAATTTAATATATTTATATTTCTTTTTAATGGCTGCCTGTTGAAAATAAATAAATTTAGTTGAATTCACAAAAAACAGATACGAAAACTTCCTAAAAATAAAATAAGTTAGTTTACATTAAAATTGTAAACTTAATGTATTCGTATCAAATAATGTAAATTGAAAAGATTCTTTCTTTCTTTATCTGCAGTTTTATTCCCTTGACAAAATTTGAATATCTTTGCATTTATTTTTTAGAATCGATTAAGCGCTGCGAACCTAAAGCAACAGACAAAGAAACTCGGTCATTTATTGCCTCCTGCCTAAAATATGCACCTTATCGTTTGAATGGAGGTAAACAAAAATTTTACAACCATGAAATAGAAATCGATGAAATTCACAAAAGTGACGAAGAAAAAAAATCAAGGTGACGATGAATGCGAAGTAGAAGGTGACGTTG